CAGAAAAATGAATTAACGAATAAGTTAAGCAATTAATTAATAAAGAAACAGATATGCATATGTACGGTGTGCATGAAAAATGTAAATAAATATGAGAATTACGTGGCGAGAAATTCAAAAAGCAGTATGATTGCATTTGGATGGCCACATCACGCCACCTGCTTGCTACGTTTACTGTATTCACCAAGCAGCTGAATTGTAGAGTTTGCGAAATGCTTGCAATAACCTCCTCTTCAGTCATGTCTGTCCATAAATTTGTTGGTCTTATTGCAATTGTTTAGTTTTACGAGGCAGTATGTTGTGTGGCTGACCGACTTTCGCTGTCTTTATTCCGCCAAATCCAAATCGATTGCGGGAAATTTGTGCGCTCATTCACCTTTTTTGGTCTTTATGACATTCTTTCCTGAAAGGTCAAATATTGGCTGTCGATTAATAAGTGTTCACAGCTTGTGCAAGAAGGCTGTCATAAGTGCAGACACTCGCTCAGGACGCCAACTACACGGCCTGCCTTCTTTTCCTTTCGGACACTCTTTCCCCAAAGATCACATCTTGCCTAGCGATTAGTAGATGTGCACAGCTTGTCGGAAGAAGCCATCATATGGCCTCGGGCACTCGATCGCGATCTGGCCGACAGCTGTCCGTTGCGTCGCCTGTTCGTCTTCCGTGCGGTGGCCACCACGTGAAGGTCGAGTGCTTGCTCCCTCACAAGCTCTATTCACGTCATGTTCATAAGGTCTAAACCTGCTTTGGCTGGAATAGTCGTTCATTCTGTTCGGATGGTTTGTGGTTGGCTTAGTCATAGTGATATATCGCTCTCAGTTTCGTCTCTGTTAGTTGACATTCATTTTGTCAAACACATGTCACATGACAACCAGACATTTTAGGTTAATGTTCATTTACGTTTTTCGCAACCATTTCTTGCTTCCTATGTCGTCGATCTTTAATAGTCGTAGTAAGCCATATTTTAGGTTTATCGATTATATACTTTATTGTTTGAGTAGAAATATGCTATGGTCAACTTCACGCTGACTTCAGTAATCGATAAAATATCCAGTTCCTACGAGTGGAGAGCGGAGAACAAAAAAAAAGCTTCCAAGTTCGCTAACAATTAAACGAGTTAATATCACTGTTCCCATTATCTAAGGGAACCTAGTTGTCATAATCTCATTTGGTTAGTGGTCTCCCCACTTTATATACTCGGAGTAACCCCGGGAGTGGTCGGAACAAATTTCGGTTATACCAGTTGTCATTTAAAACGACTACACTCAGTAAATGAACGTTTCATGCTAATGTTGCCGACATACTTATACCCAGATCTACTCAGTACAAAAATCCGCAACGGTTCATTACGTTTCTCAACTCGCACAACTTGTTTTGTAATCATTCATTTAGATATTTGCAAAACCCAGACCTCAGGCCAGATTCGAACCCGGGACTACTCTTTTCGGGGTGTTTTACGTAATGCTCTGTCATGAAGAACTAACAGACACTAGATAAAAGTTATGCATTTATTTGGGCTTTCGTTACAGTTCGCATTCATTTCAACGCATATATTCCTGAAAGTTGTTGGGCTGTTCAACTTTAGCTTACATAGGAACTTTGTTTAATGAGATGGGGACGATTACAATCCACAAATCTTTCGCAGGTTTTCTTATTCTAAAGGGGTAGAAAGGTAGAGCTTCATGACGTAATCATTCCAATGCCTTATTTTGCTTTTTTTTGATAAGGGATACGTCGCATACCAGAACGCTTCGATGGTGAAAATGAAGGCCTTCTGTTGCTATGCAATTTTTAAAAATCTGATTCCGTTCTCGGTTTTTTTTTTTGGAATTTTCTTTTGAGAAAAGTTTGTAATGAATGTCCTCCCAACGGTTTACCGCCTCGTCGTGGTATTCCTGGGTATGTACAACGGGTAATTCATCCCTCTGGCAGGGTCTCCCGAGCTGAGAAGGGGTCCGACGTTTCGTCTTATACGTGTGCGCCTTATTTCAACTCTGATTATGACAGCATTCCACTAGTGTTACAAACGTTTTGCCTGAAAAGATTTATTTGACAACTAAGACTTCACTTTTCTGTAGACCATATAGTCTCAAGAACTTCTATAATGAGCATACTTTGTGTATGATTTACCTCATTCATGACTAGCATTCCTCACAGTTGACACGTTTTACCCATAATCTGATAATATTTTCAAAGCTTAATGCCTCAACCCCCCCTTCCACCCCCACCCCACAACGGTTTACCGCCTCATCGTGGCTTAGAGGTGTTGCTAGGTGTCGGGCTGCGATGTGCAGCGGTGGATTCATCCCCCTGGCAAGGTCTCGCAAGCTGAAAAGGGGTCCCGCCTTTACATCAGGAAACCCAGCTAAGAGTAAACCAATGCCAGGATCTATCACCGTCCTCGTTCTGGTACCGAATTAGTCGCATGGTAGAAAATCTTCCTCTTATCCACAAGGGCGGCAACTACCTGTGATGGTGGCGTCCTGAGGCACATTTTGACCTGGCTGATCTCGCGACTCCAGGGAACCACGATGGGTTAACCAGCAAATCTCCGAGAAATGGTGATTATGCTGGTGCCCGCACAACCAGTGAGGACTGGCCGTTCAAGTATCAAGAATCAAGTTATAATGAAGGTATGATTCTAAAAAAGTGCACTGAAAAATCTCGTTTATCTTAACCTTTTTATTTACTGCCTTTTCTTTCTAATGGCAGGGTATGTTGCGGAATATAATTCGTATATAATGCTGAGATATTTGCAAAACTCCGGACCGCAGGTGTATGCGGTGGGGAACGAACGCGTTATTGTCCTTAACGGGGAGCAGCGCACTTCACCACGACACCATCCGGGTTCTTCGCTTTGTCTGTCTCTCAGCTCGTTCTATCGATCTTTTGCGATCAGCAATCGCCCGTCAAGTGCGCTACTCCCCGGTAAGGTCAATAGCGCGTGTTCGTTACCCACCGCATACAACTGCGGACCGGAGTTTTGCAAATGTCTCAGCATTATACACGATTCTCGTTTGTATTCCTGTCACTTTACGAATTTTTCAAGTTAGGAAGTTATGGAAATTTCGAAAGACCCGAAAAAGTCAGGTGCGCTAGTTTGAGAGCCGCAAGCTGAGAAATGTGTATGAGTGACTAAATATCCGTTATCATTGACCAAATCCCTCTATAACTGACACTTTTTTTCACTATTTTTGGGGTCTCCAGCATAATTCCAATCAGAATAATATTTTGCCCGTGGTTCTTCTTGGAGTGCTGAGATTAGCAGAATGTTTACCACAGGCCATCCTCGTACTTTGAGGATCTACTGAAAATTTACTGCTTGGGTGATCTTAGAAGACTATTTATCATGTGTTATAGTAAACAGGAACAGACTGTTTCAGCTGTAACAAATTGCTATTTTAGCTACTGTTTTCTGTACTTAGTATCTGAGCCTATGCTAATGTCCAACTGATTCTACTTGCATGAACGAAGGCGGAAATTTATCAGCTTCCGGATATATGAATCAAAAGATGTGTGAAAACGGTGACCATAGACTTAACTCTTTTATTTACTGCCTTTTTCTTCTTAATGGCAGGGTATGTTGTGAAATATAACTCGTATGAAGTGCTGAGATATTTGCAAAACTCCGGACCACAGGTGTCTGAGGTGGGGAACGAACCCGCTCTGTTGTCCTTACCGGGGAGCAGCGCACTTCACCAATACACCATCCGGGTCCGGAGTTGAAGTGCGCTGCTCCCCGGTAAGGACAACAGCGCGTGTTCGTTCCCCACTGCATACACCTGTGGTCCGGAGTTTTGCAAATATCTCAGCACTTCATACGGGTGACCATAGAATTCACAGGTGGCCGCTTATTCACCGTCTGTGGAAGTGTTTCGGTAGTTCTGTAGGTGATATATGTTCAATCACTTTTTTTTGCTTATTAAGGAATGTTAAAAAATTATCACTCCTTATTTACGCTTGTCTGGACTGCCGATAATACGGCGTACTTGTGTTTTCAAACAGTTAGTGGGCCTTGTAATGATGACAAATGTCATTTGGCCTAATTCTTTTCTCTAAACACGTTGATTTATAGTATTGCTTTGGTGAAATAACATCTTCTGATTATCGTATCGCCCGCATTGTGCACTAGTGCTCATGACGTCGCTGAAAACGTGTATCTTATGATATCATTAAATTCACCTTATTATTGTGATCCAGTGGTCGACCCTGTGTTGACTCCACTCACCATCTGACGTTTAAGATAGCACGAGTGTGGGGATCAATACTCGGTCATTACGTCATGCTAGTGTTTTGAGGATGGCTGTGATATGGAGCCAGACATTGTGTTCACTGTTGCTTGAACGCAGGCCACCTCGTGGCCAACGCCATGGCTTGGGAAGGGGTGGAGTCGCGGACTGGTGTTCTCACTCCACCCACCACATGGTGCTGTGCCGCTCAGTGTGCCTACTCGTTGGCGACGTTCTTCCATCAGTCCGTTGTTCATCAATCAGGGTTTTTGACAACCTGTTAAAGATTTATTTGGCTTGTTCACTACTTACTTTATTCGTTATTCATCGCGCACAAATTGGCAACGTCGTTAGGATCATGAGAATATTGATGGTACTACGCAAGTATTTTCTGTACTGTTATTTCATGCTTCAAGTATCACTTATGCGCCAACAAATTAAACTACGTTTCAACCTAATTTTTACATATTTCTGCTGTATTAAACATAGTAGACTTACATTACCTGTGTTAACTTGGTCTTGGACACTTTCAGCTTTCCTTTTTAGGTTCGTTCAATTGTTGTTCAAATAGCTCCGGAGCTGACTTTTCCTTGTTGGTAGCGTTTGTGTACGGTTATCTAAGTGCACGAAAATATTTTTTCTAGTGCGATTCTTTCATTTTGTTGGTGGATTTTTTTTCAAGAGTGTTCTCGTTACAATGAATATTTGTTGCGCATATCTCTATTTTATTAGGACCTGCTCGTCTTTATTATGGACTATATGTTTTAGAATATGAACACGCTTTTAAAAGTAGGCACACGAGTTGCCATTATTTCACCTCGATTTGTGGCCTCGAGCAGTCAGGCGCCTGAATTAAACGAAAGACTTAACCTCAAGCCTTCCGGTGATCCACACAAGTCTTTCTATGTATGCTGTTGTTATTTTGTATTAGATTTTTGTCACATCTGTTTAGAAACTTTTTGTGTTCGTAAAGTTTTGATATAGCGGGGGCGTACTTTGATATACCCCACAAGGCGCGTAGGACATAGACATATAATAGCGAAGATCAAGGTCTTGAAGTGGCAATGACCATCCTCACATAGGAATCTATAACATCGGCGCCTAAACTCCTCGAAGTATTCCGGACAAATTCCAAGTAATCAAAGATGAACTGTAGAGAGGAATGCTCTATTATCGCATAGATCTTAAGTAATTTCTCAGACTAATATTTTAATGTAGCCGGTGCTCATTACCCTTTCATATGAACTGTGTAAAGTTAAACTTCTCCTGGAATACTCATTGGAAGACTCACAGAAAGCATTAAGTGTGCGAAGAAGCTGTTTCAGTTCCAGTGCGATTGAAATCTAGGTTTCACGGTTTTCTATCGAGGTTACGGAGATCTTTTGCTGAGTACTCACTTAGATACTTAGATGGCCCGTCTTCACTGTTTATGCGGGAGGCTTCGCTGACTGCATTTCACTTATTTTGCCTTCTCCGAAACGTTAGCTATTCTGAATAGATAGTATATCGTAGCAACCTCATGTTTTCTTATTGAGAAAATAGCGATTTTCTTATCAATATCGAGGTTAAAACAAAGTTGACCTTGGTGAGATAATGTTTTCCTAGATCATTGAGCCAAAAAAACGTATTTCAAAACCATACGGTGTTACCTATGACTCAATGTTGAAAATCGTAACGGGAGCCCTTTTCAAGTTTTACCACAAGTTTATTGATCAGTGCTCACTTACTCAATACCTTCAATACCTAATGCAACTATAGCCGAACTATTTGATTTTCGATTTTACAGCACCGAGACTTAGTAGTGACCCCAGCAACGGGCAGTGAACTACATAGGAAACCAGGAATAAACGAATCACTCAAATTCGGTCACCACTATGCTGATCACATGGCCTTCGCCGACTGGAATGAAGATAGTGGATGGTCGCACCCTCAGATTACACCACTCAGGAATCTCAGTCTACACCCAGGATCGAAGGTAGTACATACTACTTGCATTGTTTCTATGAACGTTGTAGTCATTGTTACGTTAAAAGATTAGTGTGTTTTTCTGTTTATCATTGCCTTGCATCATATTCCGTCGAATTATATTTTTGGAGGAAGTACCAATTATTTGCAGTTAACTATTATTAACTAAGTGTTCTCTCTGCTGATGACAATATGCTGTATACTTTACGTTTATACGTTTCTAATTCTAAACTTATCTAGCCATCTAGTCGACTGAAAGAATTTATGTATAGATTTATCTGTGTCGAAATAGCTACTTTGAATTTTTTAAAGCAAGCATCTATTATGGAAACCATTCATCTGCAAAGGTTTAAATTGTAACAGTCGAAGTCTCCTTTCCCATTTGCTGAATTGTTATTCAAGCAGACAATCTCATTCTTGGTTCATCATGTAAAGCGTAGAGTTGTAGAGTTCTGTTAGACTGCGTAATATTAAAAGTACAGATGAATACTGCATATTAAATACTTTTTCTAAAACAGTACAACGAACTGTTATCTCAGAATTCTCTGTTGACATTTCAGGTCCTTCATTACGCTACTGAGCTTTTTGAAGGTATGAAAGCGTACCGAGGCGTCGACAACAAAATTCGACTTTTTCGTCCAGAAAAAAACATGGATAGAATGAGGAGAACAGCTCAACGTGCTGCGCTTCCCGTATGTTTCAGTGTTTGTCGTTACTTTATGCAAGGTCTTGGTTTTTAGCTGTACTTGGTTTTCGTACACTTCTTTTTCATAATTTAGTCTTTGTTTTTTTTTTCAAAAAATATTCTGTGCTATTCGCGTGCTATTGTATGTCGATTAGTTGGACTACTTAGCAGAGAAGAGTGTATCTTCGTCATTGTTAACGTTCAGAAATTACTTATTTTCAAAGTTCCTTCTTTGAAATTTTTCTGCTTACCGGTAAATTTTAGGATTTTGATGCCGAAGAGTTGATTAAGATTATTTGCGATCAGATTACTCTTGATCAAGAATGGGTTCCATATTCTACAACATCGTCGCTTTACATTAGACCGACTCTAATCGGCACCGATGTGAGTTCAGTTTTGTATGCCCTGAACAACCATTCCTTTGAGTTCATCACAGAACACGTGTGTTTCCTCATTCTCAGCTCTCTTGTTGTAGCCTACCCTTGGTGTTGGTTTTTCACCGAGCGCCAAATTGTTCGTGATTACCGGTCCTGTTGGTCAGTATTACTCAACTGGATTCCATCCTGTTCGTCTCCTCGCAGATCCTCAGTACGTGAGAGCTTTCCCAGGAGGTGTCGGTGCATTCAAAATGGGATGGTATGCCGCCAATTGTATTAACAATTTCTTTGTCTGTTGTTTTTGAACTTCATATGTTTATTTTTGTTTAGCAATTATGCACCAACAATTTTGGTTGGCAAAGAGGCGGCGGAAAGGAACTGCCAACAAGTCCTATGGTTATACGGGGAAGAAGAAGAAGTGACTGAAGTGGGAACAATGAACATCTTCGTTTACTGGAGGAATGAAGAAGGAGGTATACATTTGATTTTCTAAATCTACCTGCATCATAGAAATGCTTTCTTTAAAATACCTGGCTGTGCTTAGCGTTTATTTTAATGTTAACAGTTAATGTAAACATGATATAGATAGTGAATTTGCCAACAAATGTTGATTAATGAACACAGTGACGCGTTACTATCAAAAAGAATATGTTTGCATTGCAATGGAGTTGAGAGTGTAACAGAAATGACATCGAAGACAACTCCTTTTGTTTCCATTTTTGGTATTGTTGTGAGAGGATGTAAGAATAATCTGTTGTAGAGATGGAACTCATTACTCCTCCGTTTGATCGAGGTTTAATTCTACCTGGGGTTACTCGTGACTCACTTCTGGAGCTGGCACGAGAATGGGGAGACTTCAAAGTTTCTGAGAAATCCTTCACAATGTACGATGTGAAAAAAGCTCTTGATGAAGGACGAGTAAGTATCAGAGTTAGGCTGTTTTTTTCTTATTTTTTTTTATTATCAATCTTTTGCAGCTTCTGGAAATGTTCGGTGCCGGCACTGCTTGTGTCGTATCACCCATTGGTCAGATACTTTACAATAACCGAAAGGCAAGTTGCAATAAATATATTGTAATAAATACACGTAGTACGAGATTATTCATGCTCCTTTTTATAGTTAATTCCTCATTTACAGAAAGGGGTATACGAGACTTGGGAAGTCCCAACAATGAAACATTCTCCCAACCTCATGCAGCGGTTTTATGAGACTATCATCGATATTCAGGTAGGTGACGGTGTCTTATTACTATGTATTTTTTGGACTATATGTGTCTCTAACTCGTGTCTATAGTATGGTCGAATCGTGCACCCGATATGGGCTAGGACAGTTCTGTGAGTGTTGTCTGTCCATTTTTGAAGGAAATAATGCCGTCATATCAGTCGTCGCTGTACTGGGTCATTGAGATGTATCTCTTTTTGAGCATTTTTTTTCCGTATTCTTCTAATAAATCGAATATCTACGCGTGCCACCTTCTCTGCACTTTTTATTCATGACCTGTTTATATGTTTTCTTCTCTTACCTTCAGTCTAATCATTACTGCTTATAATCAGTGAGTTGTTGCCATAATGACTTTTCGTATTAACCAAACATTTTGGAGTCGTTCAAGTAACTTACTAGAAGTCGCCTTGTTTTTCGCTTTCCGTTCACTTGGATCTGTTCATCAGATTTGACTTGATGGTATACATATATAATTTGCTGGATGGCTCAATTATAAATTGGCTTAGTCTATTAAGCCAGTATATCATGTATGTATAAGTGTTCGGTGTTCAAGAAGTTATATGTTTGTGTTAAACGGATAGATTTTGGAGATAGAATCCAACTAAGTTGTTGTGCGTGTTAAAATCATGATTCGTACTGAAGGAAACGGATACATTTCTTCTTCATTTAATGGCAGGTATACATTGAAGATGCTATTGTACTCTTTCCATCTGTTAATAAATATATCAGATTTGTGTGATTTGTATCCCGTTGTATGTTTGACGTACTTTTAAGGGTAAGGAAAAGCGTAATAATGGCAACTCGATTTATAATCGGAGTGAGTACGTGTGACACTGCATTGACACTGTGGAGAGATTGCGTATTTTCTTGTTAGAGTGTTCAACTTTCAATGAAAACTAGTTTGCAACTATTTTCACATGGGCAATGGAATGCTACTGACAGAGGACCGTTATGATAAACTAGTTGTACAGAAAAAATCAAGTGATATCAGTGGATCCCTGGATTTGATCTCAGTGAAAAATAATTCATTGCTATGGAAGAAAGCGTTTATAGGGAAAGCACAACGCTAACTGCATGGAGCCGTTATCATTTGGAAACGTGGACATCCAATTTGATCATTTAAATAGACTTATAGGAAGTATGACGTAATTGTTTACGAAATCACCAAACGCAAGCGAAGTGGTAAACAGTTGTCATGTCGTTTGTGTATACGCGTTGTGAACATAATCGGCCAGTTGCTATCGCACTGTCTTTGCAACCGTCGCATCTGTTCTGGGGGTGGTTTATCGACGCTACCACGTGACTTGGAAGCGCAAATAGATACCGTGTCTTTGACACGGAATGGAAAGAGATAGAATGGGAAAATGATGCAGAGTCGTGATTACAGCTGGTGGTGCCGGGCCAAGTCAGGAGAGGATCGGCGTGACACGCGATATCGCGGCTCTGCTGCATCTTTTAAATCATAGACATTATTTGTTTCTCACTGATATTAAAAAACGCCGAAATCCACGAAGCAGAGTACTCTGACAAACGATGGTTCGCATGAATACCTTACCTAAAAGTCTAAAATGAGATTCTTAAGTTCACTGGACCAAACGTAGTGACGCACGACTTCTGTTGCCGTTATTATTTCAGTAACTACCCGCACGAAGAAAAGAAAATCAGTGGTAAAGATCACTCTTTTCGTTCACCAATACCTGAAATATTTAAAATATTTTAATCTTTTGACTACTTTTGAAAGCTACTCACATCGGCTCATCAAACGTATGATTTATCAAGGTGTCATTCACCTGCATATGATTAGTCTTTCGACTCTTGACGTATGATTTAGTCTTTTGACGTATGATTTATCAAGGTGTCATTCACCTGATTATTCAATATCCTCATTCATTGATTGCAATCAATAATTTCATTCAAAAGAGATGAATTTTGTATGATCATTATGAACATAGCGGGTAGCGCAGTGGTGGTAACCTCGTACATTATATAGAGAACATTCTTCACGAACATTGGAATGTTCTCTATGTAAAACATCTCAGATACTGCTTCCGGTGACCTTACTCCTAATTTTCTATATTGGTGTGTGTTTCTTGTTCACCTGTAACTATCTTAAATCTATCTTCGCAACTTCTCTTAATTTCCTCTTAGCCACTATGTCATGCAGTTGCCTCGCAGGTGGTTGGAAAGGGATTCTACAACTTCTTTCAATAAGCTGCTCTTCTTCGTCCAGCAGTTCGGGCACCGAATCAGCAGCAGTCAGCTGAATATACTTTCCAGCATCTGCCGTCCGAAAGAAGTTTCCGAAGAAGCAGCTGCGCCTTTTCACATGTAGCCAGTCTATCAGATTGTGCTAATAGAAAAAACCTTTAGAACCTCTTTCTAGGCATTGTCTTTAGTTCCCTTTGGGCAAGGCTCCACTCATTACAGAAGGAATACAAGCAGCCCACGGGATTCGTCTTCAAGCGTTCGTAGCGTTCGTCCGATGTTCATCTAATGCGTCGCCTCGTCATAATGATTAAATATTTAAATAAACGAAGAAGGCAACATTTTGATCATAGGTTTGTTTGTTACACGTGGCTTTCCCCAAAGTTAAAAGTGATGACCAAAGGTATGCGCCATGACTTTAGTGTAAATGTGGTTATGTGAGATGTAGAAATTACTGTACACTCTACTTCAGTTTGAAGCAGTTGCAGCCTCTTTTTTTAAAAGATTCCGTCAAGGCTTAGCAGGCGTTAAATTGCAGGTAGAGCTCAAGAGTCTATTTACGTACAAATGAAGATTTCTGTGGAATAAAATTTTGAAGGCGCAGTAATCGCCACTAGCAATAGGAAAATCGACATTTATTAACTGTTACATGACCTGACATCATATGTATCACATTATTCGGATGCCAGTGCTTCCTGCACTCGATTCCTTCCCGCTCATCCACCACAGGTCTTCGAACATCTTTCCATATTGTATCGGCTACTATGTGGTGATTTTATGGTCGTCGTCATGAATATAGTTAAATGTTGGTCTAATCGAATCTTCCTGGAATCCTGAGATAGCCTCGCTACAGCGTTGTCATGTAGTTTAGAAGGAATGACCTTTCTTCAAATGGTTATGGTGCCAATTTTCCGGCGGCTGAGGGGTGAGTGGCTTGTTGGAAGTTCCGGAAAGGAGTTGAACCAGCGTAAGTTGGGGAGTTCATGATATGAACGGGATCACTACCACTGTGCTACCTGCTTTCCCAATCGGCAATAATGTTGCGAAATTGCCATGTAGAAAACATTTCACCATATCTTCTAAACGGACCTTGCAAATTACTTGCTGACTTTAGTCATATCTCTGTTGTACTTATGAGAATAAAAAATTGCAACATGATACCAGTTAAAATAAAGTCCTAGCGCTTAGATGAAACGCAAACGTAGGTCACTATAGAAAGGCTAGTAGAGAAATGAATAGTCGGTTTGACTGATGACAAGTGCTCGGTTCTGGTTATCTGACTTGTAGTAGTAGTGGAACCTGAGATTTTATTGGCCTTATTAAAACTGAAGAAGGCAGAATTGTGTTCATCAATATTTCGCCAGTTATTAAGCTATATGGCTATGAGCTATGACATTAGATCGCTTTCCCAATACTGAATTCTCACCTTCACGTTTCCTACCTTTCCAGGTGGAGGACTTGCTACCAAATTGGCTCGGACCAGCTCACTACCCCCAATCCACTGTGGACATCCTACCACGGCTCTCTCAGGATTCCTGGAACTATCGACTGGATCAGTGTTCGACCGCATCCGTGACCAAGACGAAAAAATCCTCAAGCAGAAGCTGCTCGCAGAAGAAGTTCGAATACCACCGTAGATGATCCATACGGGGAAAGAAACAATCGAGTGCAAGAAGTGCTGGGATCCCCATCGTATGATGCATGTGATAACGGGTCGAGTGGTAGAAATAAACGTCCTGCCTAATGAATATTAACTATAATATTTACCACTAAACGTGGCAAGTATTACCGTTAATGTGCAGTACGCTAAACTTTATCTGGTTCATAGCGCTTAATGGTGTCATGAAGCAAATTTACTTTTATATAAAAATCAAGCGTATGCTACTTATTACCTTCATCCCAATTCATTCATTTAAACAATTATACAAAAGTTAAGAAATATCGTGTCTCTGCCATTTTGCTTTTATAGGGGCAACAACACAATGAAGATCAAAGAAGGCCGTGCGTAGTATACGGCAGTTTGCGACTGACGAGATCGAGTGTTGTAAGTGCTGCAGACGTTTTTGTGAAGCTCTCAGTTGTTTACAAGGTTTGGAAAGGCCGTTCAAAAACGACAGCGAAGAAGGCCTCATTTTTGGAACGACGGAAGACATCACGGAAATCATTTGGTGCTAATAAGGCAGCTATTTTGAAATGAGGTTAATCAATCAGCCGTTTAGAGATGACTAGGACACCTGTCACTGCACGCAGTTCCTGCTTATCGCATCAGGTGGAAGGCGGATGTCGCAGAACGCCGTTGGAGAGAAGGCTTTTGTATGGCGTCTCACAACACTATTTAATGGAATGAAGCATTTCTGCTTATCGTGATTGGGTCAGCTTTGTTCAATAAGAGGAAACTTCTTTACTACAGTAGAATTTCAATTATAAGTAAATCCCGTATTCAATTGTCCCTAGCGCTTACCGATGCCTTTTCAGAAACAGGATATATTTGTGTGCATACAATTTAAAATTGTGGGACTCATTGCACGCGGCAAGCTTTTGTTTCAAAAGCCTTCTACTAGTGGGTGCGTGAGGATCAGGATAAACGCTCGAGGCAGCTGAATTCGAGGTTACATGCAGTCATATTGCTGGACCACAAATATGTTTAGCTCCTCTCGAAAAACTGCTATGACCTAGCTAGATGTTTTATTGTAATTTCTCCACCTTGTTCGCTGAGCACTTTTACCTCCTGTTACCACTTAATCAGATCCTTGAATAAAGGTTGAAAAAGAGTGAATTTCACTTCCTTGCATCTAGACCGGTTCTGGAAAAAATCCCATAATTCCTATAAGAGAAGAACAGCGGTTTTTAAAATATGGATAAACGACATCGAGCAAAGCGAAGTCTAAATCATAGATTAGTGGTGCGGTTGA